AGGGCCCAGGGCCCACGCGAGGCGCGCTGGCCCTCCTTGGGGCAGGTGCAGCCGGCCGTTCGTGGATGTCCCAGCCCCGAGGGGTTGTCATCGGCTGGGAGACGGGGCCTTCCGCCCACCGAGCAGCAGGCTCGCCTCTCACCAGCCCGGCACCTGCGGGTGGGACGGCGGACTCGTCACGTGGCCGAGCTGCCCTGGCATCACTCGCATCTGTGGAAGCGTCACCGTGCTGGTGGCACTGCCTGCTTGGGCCGGCCTGAGTGGTGGGCTGATTCCCTGGCGTCTGGTCTCTGCCACGGCTGCTCCCGGCACCCCGGCCCCGGGTGTAAGGGGGGCGTCTGACGCGACACCACAGCCGTGGGCATGGGCCGGGGTCCCCGAGTCGGGGCGGGCGGGGGTGCAGCCGGCACACTGCGGATGGCCTGGCCTGCGCCGTGCCCCGCACAGCCCCCGACCCACATGCGACTGCATTTCTGACCCGCTCCTGAGCTCGGCCTGTGATCTCTCCCTGCAGACGGACCACGACCCCAGGAGCCCGGCGTACATTGCCACCCAGGGACCTCTGCCCACCACCGTGGCCGACTTCTGGCAGGCGAGTCTTTTTCAATTCTTTGTCTTACAGAAAATCAGATCTCAAATTCATCGTGAGTGATGCCTCAGTCAGCTAAGCCGGTTTGAATTTCTTTACCAGCTTCACCAAATGTTCCTCGGTTTCAGGATTTGTAGGATTGATCATTTTTATTATCGATCATCTTTTTAAAACTCAAGTATGAAAAAGTCCCCTCAGGAGAATTAATGCTCTAAGGATGCTTACTTTCTGAGCTGCTCTATGCTTTCATTTTTTTTAAACAAAAATATCAGTGTTTATGATATTTTATTCAATTGTCTCTTCTCTATTGTTTTAATCTCATGAACGTAGAAAAGGGTTTCTCAAACTACAGTGTCTCTCTTTGTGGCTTCTCCGTGTCACATTTTGGAGGCCAGGCTGGTCTCCTTCCGCTGGGGACAACCCTGGAAACCCAGATAGAGGCTCGGATGTGGGGAGCTAACAGCAGCAGGGGCCGCTGAGGGCGAGGCGGGGGCCGGGGGCTTTCCCTCTGCCGCCTCCCTCACTTCCTCCGTGGTCGGCAAGCACGTGGCCAGGCCAAGCAGGAACGGGTTTGGGGAGGTGGCACCGGACTCACGCACAGGGTCGTGTGGCCATTCAGCGATCGTAAGCGGCTCCCATGGTGTTGGCCGCCCCGGGGGTCCCCGAAACCGACACAGAGGCTCTGTGCCCCCAGGGAGGGTCCGGTGAGGACCGAGATCGAGAAGCGACACCTGCGGTGGGCGCGTCCAGGCCCGGGTCAGGTGACCCTTGAGGCTGGGCCACCTCGGGTCCCGGCGGCTCTGTCCCCAGAGTCCCGTCTGCATGAGAGGCGCCCGCTACTGGGGACAGGGCACCGGGCTGTGTCTGCGTCTTCCTGTCCCTCATAGCCTGAAACTCCCAAGTTCCCGCCACCTACAGGGGAAGCGTGGCTCTGTCCCCACCAGAGCAGGCTCTGCAGGGGGCTCCGGGACGTTCTGGAACGGACCCCGCACGTGCTCCTCACCATGTCCCACAGCAGCCGGCACGCCGGTGCCGTGTCCCCACTGGCGGAAGGCGTTAGACGGGCGTGAGCCCGCCCGCCCTCACGGTGTCCACGCCACCTCCGCGGGCGTGTCGTGTAAGGGCCCGCGCACGCTGACGCCTGGGGCCCGCGTGCCCAGCAGGCCGTCGGCGCCGTCCAGTCCCCCTGCCCAGGAGAAACGCTGCTGTGGCCTCGCCCCGGAGGGAAACCCACGCGCCATGCTGCTCCCTGGGAAGCAAACCGGGCAGGTACCGCGAGCCGGCTCGGGGGACACAGCGCATCCTGCCACCCGTCACAGTCCTGACGCTTCCCAGAGTCCGATCTGAATCAGCCCTGGCCGTGCAGCGGAAATGACCAGAGTCTGAGGAGGCTCGACGCCACGCCCCCGGGACCGACCCCTGGGCTGACCCCTGGGGCTGACCCCCGAGGCCGAGCCCTGGGCAGGCGGCCACTGGGCCTGGGGTCCCCACCGCAGAAGGGGGTGCGGACGCCGTTGCTCTTTCCGCTTCCATCGCTTTGGACCCCGCAGTGACGGCCGGTGGCCTCGCGGGCCCGGGAGGAGTAAACGCGCCCCCCACAGGCTCCTGCGCCGACCGACTCCTTTGGGTGTGATGCGTGGCAGGCGCTTGGCGGGCCGCTTCCCTCAGCGCCAGCGGCTCCAGCATGCGTGTAAGCTGTCCGGCGCGTCACACACACACATACACACTCACTCTCTCACACACACGCACACCACCTTTCCGTGCGCGAAGCTGGTCGCGGGCTTCTGCCGGGCGAGCCACGCCCATGCTGCTGCCCTCTGCGGGGCTGAGCCACGCTCTCCGGACGCACGTGCTGCTCTGAGTGGCGGCCGCGCTGAAGCTCGGTGCTTCGGGGGCAGAGGGGGCGGCGGCCAGGCCAGCCCCGTCGTCACGGAGCCGCAGTCGGCGGAGGACGCAGACGAGGATGCTGCGGGGTGGACAGGCCACGTCAAGGAGGCCGGGTGAAGGCGACGCCTCTGCCCTTAGGACCAGGGCCCGGGGCGGGCAGCGGCCGGCGTGTCATGCTCCGGAGGGTCACGGTTCCGTCACTCAGGCCTCAGCCCAGCTCTGCAAGCGTTTCGCTCGTTACGTGCCCCGCGCTCGGAGGAGACTCCGGACGAAGAGGCCGCATGGTTGCCACCTGCTCCTCAGCCTCTCCCGTGAGACGGGTCGGAGGCTGCGCGGGCGCGAGGGGCTCGCGACCCTGAGTGTGTCGGCGTCGGGGGCAAAGCCCCGCGCACTGAGCGACGTGACCGCAGACACGCAGTGCCCGGTGCCAGCAGCGAGGGCTCCGGCGAGTCTCGGGGGCGGACGTCAGCCCGTCACGAAGCCCGTCAGCAGCCAGCGTGCTTGCCCAGCGGGCCCGGTGGCGGCCAGCGCGGCGTCCGTGTTGCTCGGAACCACCGCTCGCTGTGGGCCTCAGGCCGTGGCGGCTGTGGCGTCAGTCCATCGCCGGGGACGGCCCTGGACGCTGGCCGCCGTGTTTTCCGACAGCTGGAGTCAACACGGTGGTGCTTCTGTCCCCACAGCCCGCAGTGCGGCTGTCACCTCGCCCCGGCGGGACCCCGGTTCCATTCACGTGCACGCAGGCCCAGTGCTAAGGCTCGTCTTCGAGCCCACAGACGGCATGGTTCTGACCCAGGGACGGAGGCGCCCGCTCCCTGTTGAGACGTCGCCCGCCTTACGCCTGGTGGCGGGAGTCCCAGGGGACTGCAGGACGTCACAGCGGGACGGTCCTGCTTGGGGTGGCACATCAGTCACCTCATGCCCCCCAGGCGCTCGGCAAGGGGGCCCGTAAGCCCGCAGCGGACGGAGGGTGCGGTGCTGGCCGTTCCCGGGACGCCAACGCTTGGCCTTTGATTCGGGAACTGCGGTCGAGATGGACCCTACCGAGCTCGGGCGCGGACCCTGGTCCTTACTCCTAGGAGAGGAGACCCCGACTTCTCTGAGGCGTGTCACACCTGTGTGCCCTCTGCCCCCCGTCAGCACCTCCCGCAGAGCTGAGCCAGGGAAGACAGAAGTGACACCTGTGGGGAGTGGAGCCCTCGCTGCCCCCGAGGCCCGCCAGGCCCCAGCCCACTGTCCCCACACGTGCGGTCGGCCACTCGGCCTGGCTCACAGGTGGACAAGGGCGGCCCACGCGGCTGGCTTAGCATCCCCCTGTCCACCCTGCCACACGGTGGCCTGAGGAGACACGTTGTCCCCAGGAGCGCCTTTGGGGTGTTCGCTTAAATTAGGCTCCGTTCGGATTTAATCTTCCCAGGCCTTCAGAGGGCCGGGCGGCCAGGCGGTGAGCTCACTGCTCGCCTGCGGCGGCCCCAGGCGAGGGCGCCTAACGTCACACCCGGTGGCACAGGCGGAGGGCGGAGATGCGTCTCTGGTCTCCATCGTGTGTTTTTATTGCACTCATAAAATCCGTGTTTCTCCTCGTTTTCCTAATGGCTGTGCTGAGCGGCTGCGTGCGCACGGACCCACCGAGGCCCGGCCCGCTTCGAGCAGACGAGTGCTCGGTCCTGTCTCGTTGCCAGATCCGCACGGAGGAGGCGGGAAGTGCGTGGCTTCGAGCACAATTCATAGTCATCTGCGGGCTTTTTGTAAACACGCCAGTGGGTCCCGCCAGATTCTGACCTAAACGAGCCAGTGGAGGTGCCGGAGCATGGGGCTGGCTCTGCCGCGTGGGGCTAGAACGCAGCTTTGGAGGAGGGAAATGCGCCGCCCGTGTCTGAAACGCAGAGGGGGTGTGGCGACGTGACCCGCAGAGCGACAGCATCTCTCACCTGAGATGCGCAGGTTTTTAAATGACAAGATCTAAATCGGGCTGTCATACGGCGTTTAAACGGAACAAGCTCTCGTGCGTCTAAACGCAGCTGCTCGTCACCGTTGCCGTGCGGCTGGCGGCGCCACGTGGACAGCAGGCCCGCCGGGCGCCCGCACCGCAGACGGGCCGCGGGCCGGGGCGCGAGCTGGCGGGCTCTCCGGTCCTCACCACCTCAGCCCCGCGTTGCGTGCTAATTCGGTCTCTTCCCGAGCCACGGGGATGTTTGCATCGTGACTTGTGAATTGCCGGACCGGTCTGGATGCGTTTTCAACACACAGCGCTGCTGTATTCGGGGTGCGGGGAGGGCATTCCGGGGCACACGCTGCTGTGTGTCGGGCTCTAAAAATGCGGGGCGCCCCCTCTCGCCATGCAGACGGCGACAAGGCCTGGGAAGCGAGCGTGTCGGCAGGGGCCCGTCGCAGGCCGTGGGGGATCGAGGGCAGGGGAGGCCACCAGCCTAGGTCACTTGGGTTGCACTAGGGAAAGTTCCCCTCACAGGGCAAAGGTCAGGGCAAAGGTCAGGAAGTCACATGGCTGGACGCAGACCTGGGCGCGGATCGGGGAGGCTTCGCAGCACGTGGAATGAAGCCCCGTCACGTTTTCCACGTTCCGACATTCGTGCGCACGCGGGGCGGGGTCCCCGGCACTGCTCGGCTGCTGGGCGGAGCGGCCGACGCACGCGGCCGTCCCGATTCTGTGCAGATGGTGTGGGAGGAGGGCTGCGTGGTGATCGTCATGCTGACCCCGCTGTCGGAGAACGGTGTCCGGCAATGCCACCACTACTGGCCGGATGAAGGCTCCAGCCTGTACCACATCTACGAGGTACGGCCCCCGGCGCCCGCCCCGCACCCCTGTCCCCAGACACACCGGCCGTGCGGTCGGTCCCCACCATGAGCTGGGAAGCTGGGTCGGGTCGGAGGGCCCGTGGGGCCAGGCGTCCCCAGGGCGTGTGGTGGGGAGACACCCAGGCCAACCCGCCTCGGGTCGGAGGGCCCGTGGGGCCAGGCGTCCCCACGTCCCCAGGTGGGGAGACACCCAGGCCAACCCGACACCTGCACCACGGCTCCGGTGTTTAAAGGGTTACGAATTGAAGCGCAGACAGGACACAGCCTCATGGGTGGGTCCACCAAGCCAGATCCCCTCGTGGGCCGGGCGTTCGACAGCCTGCCCCGCTCCAAGTGCATGGTGACCGGTGCCTGCGCCCTGCGGCCCCCGCTCTGCGGGCTGTGTCCGCCTGTTTGTCTGGGGGAGCCCGCTGGCAAGCATGTTCCCCTTGCTGGGTTTTTTACCCGCGTTGAGACCGAACCGAGCAGATGCAGTCAGTTAGACCGGCCCCAGGCCGCATCCCAGCTCAGCTTTGCGTTAAAATCGGCAGAATGCTCACATCCCACCCTGGGAACCTTGTTAGAAGCTGACAGATGAACCCTAAAAATAAGTCCTGGCGTTGGGTCACAGGTGTCCCTAAACCCAGGAAGTGTCCACACTCAGGTCCCGTAGCGAGTCTGCGAGGCCTGGTCACCGCCACCCCGTCCAGGGGCGCAGCGTGACCGCTGGTGTCTCTCCGGAGATTCTCTCAGAGGCGTACGTGGCTTAGAAACAGAAAAGACGAAGCCTGGGCCAGTCTCAGACGAACACGTTTTTCTAATCATGTGACTGTTATGCCCCCACGGAAGATTTAAAAAAAGAAGAACCCACAAAGTTACCTATACGCCGCGTTAAAAGTGAGAAAGTGGGAGGGGACCCCGAAGCCAGCGGTCACCCCATCTGCGATGTGAAGTGTGTGGTGGTGGCTTTGGCCCCTGCGTGAAGCGGCCCGTGCTGGCGGATCTGTGGGCGCCGCCCGACGCCTGCTCTGTGTCCCTCCCCCGCCCGCCCCCAGGTCAACCTGGTGTCCGAGCACATCTGGTGCGAGGACTTCCTCGTGAGGAGCCTGTACCTGAAGAATCTGCAGACCGGCGAGACGCGCACCGTGACCCAGTTCCACTTCCTCAGCTGGTATGACCAGGGCGTGCCCCCCTCCACGAGGCCCCTCCTGGATTTCCGCAGGTACGG